CCTCCGTCAGGATCGTGCAGCGAAGAGAAAAGTAAAGGCATCCTCGTTAAACCCTCCAAGGCTCATCTGTGATCTCGGTGTGGGCCGAGTGGGGAGTGACGAAGGCTCAAGACTTAGCCGGGCTGGCGGGCTGTTTGTGGTGGCTCGGTGGTCCGCTGGGCGGAGGCTGCCCGACATGGGTGGGGGGTGATATTGGTTTCGGACAGTCGGTGCATCCCCCCCTCCCCCATCTCCTAGACCATATAAGCCTCGTGGGGTGACCCCACAATCGCTCCCCTTCCAGACGGAAAGCCTCCAAGTGTGACTATAGCGGCGGCCCACCCATCTCACACTTCCCCCACGAGGATGCAGATCCACCTCGGAAGCATTCACCGTCCGCCCCGCCAACATTTCGGGCTCCCTCCCGGCAACCTCCTTCTTCAGCATCGGATGCGGACACCAGACGACCCGCATGCCCGCGCGCCGCCCGGCCTCCACACCCGGCACGCATCCTTGGAACACGAGACAATCATAGGGCGCGATGGGCCGCTCGCCCGCGGGCAGCGAGTCATTGATGGTCTGGAGCGTGAGCAAAAAGATGTCGGGCAGCGGCTTGCCGCGGCCGGGGGCGATGCGCGCGTCGTCGCCGAGGACGCGGCGCGCGGCTGGGGAAGACGGAGAAGAGTTCAGAGAGGTGGGCGGTCTTGAGGCGGAAGTGGGCCGCGTGCGATGACGTCGCCAGCGCGATGTGTACGCGCTGGGGGGGCCGGCGGCGGTAGTAGTCTGCTTTTGGGATGGCAGGTCCCAGTAGCGAGTGCGGCCGAGGTGAGCGAGCAGCTCGGGCACGCCGGGCAGTGGTTGCGTGGTGGGGAAGTGCTCGGCTTGGAGGGCGTACAGTTCCTTGATGTACTGCTCCGGGGAGATGGGCAGCTGGGCCCACTCGTGGAAGAGCTTGTTGGCGGCGGGACCGGGGCGGCCTTGCAGTCTGGCCTTGACGCTCCAGGGGAGGTTGGGGCGTTGGTACTTTTCGAGGATCAGGTTGACACAGAGTGTGTAGAGGTCCTCGGTGTCGAGGAGAAGCCCGTCCATGTCAAAGAGACAGGCGCGGACGGGAGGGAAACTGAGGGTGGTGTTGGTTAGTTCGAGGACTTTTGGTTATCGAAGGGGGTAGAAAACTCACTCAGTTTTGGGAGCCATGTTGATATCAAGAGATGTGAGAGGGTTGCGGGGTACTGATTGCTTTTGAGGAGGGTAAATTGGCAAGGAATAAAGCGTGGATGTGTATAGTTCTCAAAACTTAGCCGGTGGGTGGTCTTGTATTTATATGCCAAGTTGACTCACTCCAGCATCCTGACATGGATCGCCCAGTTGCTGAAGGAAGGAGGGGAAAATACAAAAAAGTTGGAGCCCCTGCATGGTGGGTCTTGAATTGTCACAACTCAACGCTAACACGCCAACGGTAATAACACATGAGCTACGATTGGGAAGGCATACCCGTGGTTCATCCTTCTTCTCAGGATCCCGGGGTTTCCCGCTCCGGTTTGTTGGGGGTTCCTCACGGCCAAGTGTGACAACGGAGTGTGGAGATTAAGAATGACCAACGGCTCGATTCTGAGTATTACATTACCTAGTCAAGTTTTACATTGTGAGATTAGGTCACCCCGATTCTTTGACTCTTTCTCTCCTTTGTAATAAACCACCAGTCCCACTCTTCTGTGACGAGGCGACGTAATTGCCTTGGGCGTTCCAGTGATCGGTCAACCACTGTGTATCCGTACAAAGATACGGTCACGCGTGTAACATTGGCGGGGTACGAATACTGAGTGCCCGGCGCCCGTCGCCCGGCTAACAAAGGGTTGGGCGTTGACATGTGAAAAACGGTAAATTACCCAATCGATTCCTCGCGTGTCATCACCACATCACCAGATTGGGCTCATTGAGCCTCCGCGTTTAGCCGCTGCTTTATCTCATGTACGAAAGCTGTTTTGGATTCGGCCCCTGAAACAACTCACTTTCAAAGCTAGAAGATGGCAATCGGCGGCAGTAACCAGCCGGCTGCGCCCGCAAAATCCGAAAAGACCCCTCTCCCGAAGCCGGAGAACGACGGCAATGACAAGCCGGAGAAGTTTGATCCCCAAGAGGAGGCTGCAGGTCGCCCCAAGCCTCTTCTCATGGACAAGTTGTGACTAACGGTTGGGCCTCACAGTCTATGGTAGCCGAGTCTAGCTCGCACAAAGCTGAAGCAAACACCCTGTTCACCTCTGGAAAGTACGAGTTCGCCATCAACAAGTATGACGAAGCCGTCGCCGTATGTCCTGACTATCTGGACTACGAACTGGCCGTACTACGGTCCAACATTGCCGCCTGCCACTTGAAGCTGGAGGAGTGGAAGGAGGCTGTCAGCAACGCTACGACTGCTCTCGACGGACTGGACCGTTTGGAGCAGCAAGAGAAGGAGAAAAAAGAAAAGGAGCAAGCTCAGGTTGATGAACCCGGCGCCGCCAAGAACGATGACGCTGAAGAAGAGATCATCAGCGCCGGGGCTGCCAAAGCCGGCCCAGCCCTCCCCACGAGCTCCGAGGATGAGTCAAACGAGGCGGCCCGCCAGAAACGCCAAGACGACATCGCCAGGATACGTGCCAAGGCCTTGATGAGACGGGCGCGCGCGAGGAGCGAGTTGGGCGGCTGGTCAAACCTGGAGGGCGCCGTCGAAGACTACAAACGGCTGGCTGGCATGACGAATCTGGCGGCGGCCGATAGGAAGGTCGTGCAAGCGCAGCTCCGGGCGTTGCCGCCCCTGGCTAAGGCCGCCCAGGAGAAGGAAACGGCTGAAATGTGGTCGAAACTCAAGGAATTGGGGAACGGGCTGCTCAAGCCGTTTGGGATGAGCACAGACAACTTTCAGATGGTGAAGGACGAGAAGACGGGCGCATATAGCATGAACTTTCAGGGAGGAGGGAGTAAGTAGAAGCTGGGTGATGAGCTCTTAGCTGGTCGTTTCCCAGGGGATATTCAGATTGGGTACTCTTTTGGCACGTTCCTGGCTACAAGCATGACTTGGGAGTCAAAACAAAAACTCCACGTTCTAACAGGAATCACATAACTAGTGATGATGCTCAAGATAGGCTCACATGAACCACAATTCAAGCTCCAGTGGCAAAACTGGGTCATTTCTGCCAAGACCGCCAAGTCTGCCGAGCCATTATGTGGGGCTGCAACGCCACCGGAGCAGCCGATAAGCAGCTTATCAAGCAGCGCGGGGCAATGGTCTTGCATGGTTCCTAAAATTTCTTGGGATACAAAGTTGCCCCGCCAGCTCCAAACCAGCACTGATTTCTGCTGTTACCTAGCCGTTGGTCGTTTTGTTTGGAGAAAACAACTGAATTTCCTTTTGCAAAGATACCCAATACCCCTCGAAATAAACACCACAAGTAAGAGCACAAAGTACAGAGAAAGCGTCGTCATGGATGTCGACATGGACACGGGCATGGTGCCCTTAAACCCCCAGCAACTGGGTAGTGCCCGCACAGGCGCAACGTGAGTTGCTCACGAGATCTCTCTGAACGTCACTAAATTCTAACGTCATCGTAGAATTCTATGCTGTAACTGCGGCGCTCCCATCGACGGCACCGCCTCTGCCGGCGCCCTCTGCTACGACTGCATCAAATCGACCGTCGACATCTCACAAGGCATCCCACGCGAAGGCGTCCTACATGTCTGCCGCGATTGCGATCGGTGGTTGATGCCACCCGCCAGCTGGGTGACGGCCACCCTCGAATCAAGAGAACTACTGTCACTATGCCTTAAACGCCTACGAAACTTGGGCAAAGTTCGAATCGTCGACGCCCGCTTCGTGTGGACAGAGCCCCACTCGCGCCGTATCAAAGTCAAGATTACCGTCCAGGACGCGGTCGCCGACGGCGTCATGATGCAGCAGAGCTTCGAGGTGGTCTATGTTGTGGCGAACCAACAATGCCGGGAGTGCGCAAAGTCATATACCGCCAACGTTTGGCGTGCTGCCGTACAAGTGCGCCAGAAGGTGACGCACAAGAGAACATTCCTCCTACTAGAGCAATTGATCCTCAAGCACCAGGCGCACAGGGACACAATAAACATCAAGGAAGAGAAGGATGGTATCGATTTTTACTTCGCCCAAAGAAATCAAGCCGAAGCTTTCATCCACTTCCTCAAGTCCGTGGTCCCAGTTCACACAAAAGAGTCGAGGCATCTCATTTCAGCCGATACCCACACGGGTAACAAATCCTACAAGTACAACTATTCCGCCGAGCTTGTTCCCGTTTGCAGAGACGACCTCGTCGCGCTACCCCTGAAGATCGCAAAGTCGCTCGGCAACATCTCCCCGCTCGTGCTCTGCTGGAGGATAGGCACATCCGTCAACCTCCTCGATCCGAATACCCTCCAAACCGCCGAACTCAGCGCCGAGACATACTGGCGCGCACCGTTTGCCCCACTGGCCGGCGCCCCCGAAATGGTCGAATTCGTCGTCATGGACATCGAACCCTCAAACCAGCGCAAGGGCAAATGGGTGCTCGGCGAGGCGACGGTGGCGCGGGCATCGGACCTCGGCGTCAACGACAACACCTACTTCGCGCGGACGCACCTCGGCAGCCTGCTGCACCCGGGCGACTCGGTCATGGGGTACATGCTGACGGGCACCAACTTCAACTCGGACGCGCTCGACGCCATCGAGAACTCGCGCGCGTACGGGTCGACCATCCCCGACGTGGTGCTCGTCAAGAAGCACTACGCCAACCGCCGCAAGAACAAGCGCCGCAACTGGAAGCTCAAGCGCATGGCCAAGGACGAGGGCGACCTGCTGCCCAAGGCCGCCGACCAGGCCCGTCTCGACGCCGAGTACGAGCAGTTCCTGCGCGACGTCGAGGAGGACGACGAGCTGCGCCAGGCCCTGGCCCTCTACAAGAACACCAAGAAGAAGCAGCCCCACGACGCCGATGCCATGAGCATCGCCGAGACCGAGATGACCGTTGATAATGACGGGCCCAAGATCAGCATGGACGAGCTGCTGGA